CTCCCCTCTCCTCTCCTCCATTCCTCTCTCCCCCTCTACTCCCCTCTCCTCTCCTCCACTCCTCTCTTCCTCTCTATCCCCCTCTCCTCTCCTCCACTGCTCTATTCCCCTCTCCTTTCTCTTCCCCTTCCCTGAACTCTCCTCTCCTCTTCTCTTATCCCCACCCCTCTCCTTTCAACTCCTCCCCTCTCCTCCACTCATATCTCCCTTCTCTCCTCCCCTCTCCTTTCCCCCCTCCCCTCTCCTCTCCTTTTCTACATCTACCCTCTCCTCCCCTCCTCTCTTCTTTCTTCTCCTCTTTTCTCCCCTCCATTTCACTTTCCTCTCCTCCCCTATCCTTTCCTCCCTTCTCCTCAGCTCCCCTATCTTCTCATACCATCTCTTCCTCTCTTCTCTTCTCTCCTCTCCTCCAGTCCCCTCTCATCTCCTCTTCTCTTTTCTCCTGTCCTCTGCTCTCCTCTCTTCCCTCCCCTCCTCTCCCTTCTCTTCTCCTCTCCTCCCCTCCCCTCCCCTCTCTTCTCCTTCTCTCTCTCTCTCTCTCTCTCTCTCTCTCTCTCTCTCTCTCCCTCCCTCTCTCTCTTCAACATGTGTTTGTGTGTATAACGTGGCTCATCAGAATTGGGAAAACAACAGGTCCTGAATCTCTTTGCATGTGTGTTGGATTTGGATGTAGCAGAGGATATAACTAACTTAATCAGATCTGTGTCCGTGTGTGTGTGTGTGTGTGTGTGTGTGTGTGTGTGTGTGTGAAGCTTTGCCTTTAGAGGCAAAAAAAGCAGGAACTGTCAGATAACATCATCTTTTGTATGTGTTTCTGAGTATAGTATGTTCTTTTACCTAGTAAGTTATGTTGGCACATGAGAATCTTAACACATTAAAATGTCCGTGTAAGTCCAGTGATGTGGACGGACATGCTGTTAGTTCCTGCCATTTTCCCCTCCATAGGCAAAGCCTTATATATAAATATACATGGATAGATAGCAGATTCAGCTAGTTATAACCTCCCATATAGCCAAATCCAAACACAGACAAATAGAATAAGGGCTGGCTGGGTCCCCAATCCTGAATATTCAAATTACCCACACAAACACATTCAAGAGAGAGAGAGAGAGACAGAGAGAGAAAGAGACAGAGAGACAGAGACAGAGAGATTGAGAAAGAGATTTAGTTCCTATATGTGGGGCTTTGGATGTATGGCAGGAAGAAATAAAGGCCATGACATCTAGCCCAGTGTTTATCTTTATTCTCACAGCTTTAACCCTCAGTTTGGTTTTAGTTTTGAGAGTACTTATCAGGAACTTATATTCAGCCATAGCTGACATTCAGTGTAGGGCGGGAGATACTTAGAAGGAATGGCCACTTACCAATTTATGTAAGATTTGTGTGTGTGCAAGATTTCTCTGTGAGGGGATAACATGAAGTACTTGATATGAATTGGTGTATTCATGTATGCGTGTTTGCATGCATGCATGCATGCAAGTTTGTGTGTGTGTGTGTGTGTGTGTTTGTGTGTGTGTGTGTGTGTGTGTGGAAGAGAGAGAGAGGAGAGAGAGAGAGAGAGAGAGAGAGAGAGAGAGAGAGAGAGAGATACTAAATTATGTAAGATTGATGTGTATGCAAGATTTTTCTGTGAGGGGTTAACATGAAGAATCTGATATGTACTGGTGTTTACATGCATTTGTGTGTGCGTGCATGCATAACAAGCATCTGTCTCTGTGTGTATGTGTTTGTGTCTGTGGTGCATATATTGTGTTAATGTGTGCTTTAGTTTTTATTTAGGAGATACCTCACATTACCTATCACCACCCATGTGTCTACTGTGTCAGTTTCTATAGAATAGGGGATTATGAAAAGTACCTTGTTCCAAATCATGTATTGGGTGGTGGTGGACATACGAGTTGGCAGATCTTTCATGGGATGACACTTAGCCCTTGTAGAAGACATTAGTTGTAAGGAAATGGTAAATGTAGTAGAACCTGTAATCAGGATTTGCCATGTGTCTGTGGGGCTTGACTGTGGGTGAAGGCATACCTACTGTACCTGACACCAAGATCTCGTTCTCTTGTTCCAAGGTTTTTGTTTCCCTCCTCTCCTCCCCCTTCTCTACTCTTCTGCCTTCTCCTTTCCTCTCCTCCCATCCTCTCTCCTCCGATCTCCTCCCCTCTCATTCCCTCTCCTCTCTTCTCCATCTATCCTCTTCACTACTACCTGCTCCTCCCCTCCCCTCCCCTTCCCTCTGTTTTCCTCCTCTCTCCTTTCCTCACCTCCCCTCTCTTCCCCTCTCTTCCCCTCATCTCTCCTCTCTTCTACTCCCATCTCTTTCACTCTCATCTCTTCTCTTCTTCTCCATCAACCCTCCCCTCCTCTCCTTCCCCCTCCTTTCCTCACCTCTCCTATCCTCCCCTTTCCTCCAATCTTCTCCCTATCCTTCCCTTGCCTTTCTCTCCTCCCCTCTCCTCTACTCACATTTTCCCCTTTCTCCTCCCTTCATCTCTCTTCTCCTCTACTCCCCTCTCTTCCCTTCTCCTCCCCTTTCCTCTCCACTCCTGTCCTTCCCTCTCCTCACCTCTTCTCTCCTCCCCTCTCCTTTTTACTTTCCTCCCTCTCCTCTACTCTTCTTCCATTTTTATCCCCTCTCTTCCCTTCCCCTTCCCTCCCCTCTCTTCTCCTTTCCTCCCTTCCCCTCCACACTCCTCTCCTCTCCAACCCTCTCCTCCCCTCCACTCTCCTCTCCTCTCCAACCCTCTCTTCCCCTCTCCTCTCCTCCCCTCCCATCTGCTGTCTTCCTCTCTATTCTTGTCCCCTCCTCTCCCCTTCTCTCCCACCCCTCTTTTTCTCTCTCACTGACATGTTTTTGCGTGTGTAACTTGGCTTTTCAGAATTGGGAACACAACAGGTCCTGAATCTCTTTGTGTGGGTGTTGGATTTGGATATAGCCGAGGATATAACTAACTTAATCTGATCTGCATCCATGTATGTGTGTGTGAAGCTTTGACTTTAGAGGCACAAAAGGCAGGAACTGATCATAGCATATCATATTTTGCATGTTTTTTGTGTTTGTGTGTGTAGTATGTTCTTTTATCTAGTAAGAATGTTGGCACAGGGGAATCTTAACACAATAAAATGTCCGTGTAAGTGCAGTGATGTGGGCAGACATGCTGTCAGTTCCTGTCACTTTCCCCTCCATAGGCAAAGCCTTTTATATACATGGATAGATACCAGATTCAGCTAGTTATAGCCTCCCCTATAGCCAAATCCACACACACACAAATAGATTAAGGGACGGCTGGGTCCCCAGTCCTGAATATCCAAATTAGACACACAAACACATGCAGTAGAGAGAAAGAGAGAGACAGAGACAGACAGAGAGGCAGAGACAGAGAGAAAGACAGAAGAGGATATAGGAACAAAAGTTCCTGGAAACAAGAGAGACACAGCTTGGCCTGATCTTGCTGTATGCTGACTGGTGTCAGGTGTGGGGAATGATCCCCTTGGGCTCATACTGAGCAGTGTGTGTTGGGAAACATGGTGGTGTGCAGCAGGGATTCACAAATTAGTATATGTAGTATTGCAGTTAGCAGAAGCTTACCGCTGACACAAACCTAGAATTGTGTGTGGATTTTGCAAGGGAGAATGGAATACACTTGAATTTCTAGGTATCAGGTCCTGTTGGTCTATATCTCCTACACACACTGCTATATATCAAGCCTGTTTATGTGCCTTCTCTGTACTCCATGTTCAAAATGTGCTGCTTGATTACAGTCCCTGAAGAACTCCTAACCATTCCCTCTGCTTTCACTGCTGCAAACTAAACTACCCTGTAGTCCACAATGAATTGGAAGTTATCATCACCTTCATGCTATGTGAAAACTATGCAGGAAACTCTCTGACCAAGTGACAAGGGGGTGCTCTTTTTGTCTAGTATCACTAAAAACTGATTTGAAGGTGTGGTGGGAGCATGTTCTAGTTGAATTTGATATACAGTATGTTTAGGGCTTCATGGTTGGGGTCCTGCAAGGCCAGATATGAAAGAATTCACATAGGGCAGTTTGAGAGCTGGTATTAAGCTGGTTTTAATAGCACCCAGTGCATTAAGATGGTGGCAGGCAGGCAATGTCAAGCAGTGTCAATTACTAGCAATGCTGTTTAGCACAGCATATGGGAGGGGACATTTGTAGGATCTTTACTACTATTGGTGTGGGAGTTATTGGGGGAAGGGACATCCTGAACTGCCATAGTAATGTATATGGGTGACAAAATATGAGTGTACGGGTAAGAAAAGTGTCAGGTAAGGGATGATATCTAAATGGATATGTGGATTGTGGCTGCGAATGTCCATCAGGGTCTGACAGATAGCTCTTTTGGGATGTATGTGGTTGTCAGCACAGCCTGGCTCCATGTATTCATTGTGAGGCAGCAAGGGTGGTGTGGTCTGCATGGGTTGACATTTAGCATTGAGAGTGGAGCAGTGTTGGGGAGTGTGCAACGCTAGGCTCTCTGGCCTCCAGCAGCAGCATGGAGACTCATGAGCTCAAGCAAGTCTTACATCTGTGCTGTGCTCAGCATCCCTCTTCTCCTGGGCTGGGGTGTTTGAGAGTGAAGAGTACAGTTGACTGTCAGAGGGGGAAATGAGCCCACAGCTTTAGAGAGTCTTCATTCTGCTTCCTTATCATATCTTTACGCAGTAACGTTGAGGGTTCCATGGGTGTAAGAGTGGTGAGCAGTACACATCTGGTTATCAGCCTGGACACTCCTTCCTGCTGCATAGCACTGAACCATCATCATGTCGTAGGACAGGTATTTGTTGTCTGCTGGGCTGTGACAACAGTGTCCAGGCTTTCTCTAGATATCCTACGATACAGTCTCCCTCAGCCATGCTTCAGCTTTTGTATTTTCTTGGCTAATGTCATTAAAGCTCATGTGGCCAGAGTTTATCTTCTGTGCTGTCTCTGTCTTCTTCCTTAAGAGGCTGAAACTTATGTGGATCTCTTCTGCATCTCTTATGTGAATTTTGTAGTGTTTGCATGGGGGTCAGCTGTAGTAATTGAATTTGTGTTCAGTTTTCTAATGGGTTCCTTATTGTTTACTTTTGCATATTTGCAGACTTTTGTGGACAGATCATTTTCTCTGCCTTGATTTCCAAAGGTGGCCCGATAAAATCCGCTGATGCGATGTAGGTGGGTCTCTTGCTGGGATTTGTGTTTGAATCCATGTTTCCATCTCTGTTTCTTCTTTGTCCAACTCTGTGGATCTCTGGGACTTTGTGTGAAGGGCTGGAACCAGAAGTGCAGGGTCTGGATGAGTCGCTCCTGTCCTCTTCCATCACTTTTAGGATTAGACCCCGTTTTGATGTTTCGGTGCTTGGGGACCAGATTTTCAATTTCTAGTCTATCTGAGAAACCATCTGTCAGCTTAACAACAGTGACAAGAGTGGAGAAACAGGGGTCTCTGAGTGTTTATATTTCTTTGGATAAAAAATAAATGTTCCATTTGCCAACTGGTGTAAATTCAGCAGGAAATCTACTTTGGTACTTTGGTATTTGTTGTTTGTGTATTTTCTCAGTATAAGTGACTGACATCAAGTGTACCATCATCATGTACATTTGCCAGATGGTGGCCTGACAGAGAAGGTCCAAGGACACTGCCCTTTTCAGGAACTCCAGTTTAGAGGCTGTGCACACATGCACTCGTGTGTCCCAAGGCTCTGTAGTGGCATGTTCTTTCTCTGCTCAGGTAGTTTTCCAGGGTCATCTCTGAGGAAAGAGAGGCATAGGTGACATTTTTACACTATCCAAAAACACACAGCATGAATCTTTGCTGGAGATTTAAAGGTAACATACATTGGATGGCTTTCCTAGGGGATCCCTCTGTTATCCTCAGATCTTGATGAGAATTGGAGCAGGTTCTGTAGCTGGATGCTGGAACATGAGCCATCTCACTGCCCTGCACAGAATGTCCTCCTGAAGCTGTGTAGAACTTCTGAGTTTTCCTGAACTCAGAGACGACCTTTTTCATTGCTGACACCAGTGTTGAGTGTCCAAGTCCTCAGGTTAGGAATCCTTTGGGGACACGATTCAGGATGTGGCCAGGCACCTACAAGAGATGGAATATTGCAGATCAATGAGAAAACTGGCTGAGAGTTCCACATCCACAGGCACACGATCTGTGGTCTTGGCAGATAATGGCAGGTTTACTTTATGAAATTCAGGGACTGAAGAGGCAGATATAATGCTCATTGTCATCCAAGGTGACATTCCCTAGGCCAACATCATGAAGGTGTGTCAGGGACAGCAGAAAGCAGGGAATAATTCCTCATTACAGCCCTGCAACTTTTCAGGAATCAGGCTCTGGAAACAAAGGAGGAAAAGCATTTTCCCACCAGCATGTCTAAATATAGGCACTCTGCTTCCTGCACCTTATCTCACTTCCTCTTGTCTACATTAGACAGGATACATACTTGGTGAAAATGAGCTTCCACAAAAGGTGATGTCCCAAAGAACCTGCAGATAATAGGAGAGAAAGGGTGACCAATAAGACACCTGGAGTTGACTTGGGAAACTCCATGTGACCCACCTGTACCAAACTACTCATCACAGCTGTCTCAAGTGGCTGGTGGGTGTACTTAATCATTGTGCCAACCAAATATGTTATGTCCAGAAGAGCATCTAAGGACTCAGTCTTGTGCTCTGTGAGGAGGACACCTGTGGACAGCTTTGGGATGAAGTGTGTGGAGTTCCTGCTACAAGTGGCTGGTAATCATGGACCCTGCCCCTGCTTCATCTAACAGGGAGGTGGTAAAGGAGGGAAGTGAAGGAAGTGGGGGTCTAGAACTCACCTGACTTTGGTTCTCTCAGATAAAATGCTAAAGATAGATACTTGCTTTAGTATCAGTGAAAGTCCTCGTTAGTCCAAAGGCAAATGTCAAAATAAACACCACAACTGATCATTCTGAGATTTGCCTTTGTAGAGAGTCTGTCATGTGAGTCTGGATCCCATGATTCTCATTGGTTGTATCTCCTTGGTTTCAATGACCTGGCTACAGCACCCAAGTCTCCTTTCCCATGCACTGCATTCAGTAAAGTATATCACAAATGATACTTGCCTTAGTAATCACCCACTGATACAGAGCAGGTATGGCCACATAAACAAGAAGGCCCATCACTCCAGTCTGGTTTTCATTGCAAGACAGTTTGTACTCTTGTTCTCATGGTTCTTCAACCCAGTACAGACTAAGCATCTTGCCAGTTGCAGTGATTGTTCTTCCATACAGGGGTAAGATGATGTTCACCCGTTATACACAAACTGTTCCTCCATAACAGCTAGGGGCAGAGGGGAAAGATGAGCTACTTGCCCCAGTTTATATCAAGATCACTCTGAATCCATGACTCTGTTGTCTGTCCTCTTACCTTGTTTCCTCTGCATCTTGAGCTTAATGACCATGTCCCTGGAGTTGAAAACAGTTGACTCTGGCAGCCTCATGCTTATCTTTCTGTGGATCAGTGTCAAGGATAAAACACATCACAGATAGCTCTCTAATACAACAGGATGAAAATTAGTGGTCTCAGGGTTGCCTTCAGCGATGAGACTCACAGATAAGCCCTGGTATTCAGTCCCTTCTGAGTGGATACTCTTCATTACATCATTGGTTCTGCATAGAGGGTGTCCATGACAACACCAATGCAACTTTCACAAGAGGATCCTAGCAGAATGCTTCTAATCTACAGTCACGAGATTCTGTCTAGGTCTGACCCTCTGACCCGTGATGTGGGATCTAACCAAAAAGGAGTTCCAAGACTGCAGACTGAGTTGTGTGTTCACTGTTCCCCAGGATCAGGACAATCAAACAATACCCACCTTGCAAACTGGAGCAACATTCCAGAATTCCTTCTATAGTGGTAACCATTTCCTTTCTGCTTGCTGTCACTTTCCTGTTAGGAGACAAATATGGTTCTGACAAGCACCCCATAAGTAATGGCCCCTTCACCAACAGCTAGACTGAACCAGCATGCAGTGGGTGTGTCTCAGGTGAAAAGAGGGAAATGGATACAGGCTGCCTGCAAACACAACATAGGGAGGGGAAGGGAGGGAGGAGGAGACTCACTTCTGTCCAGTGTGGAAAAAAAAATCTCTCTTGGCCTTGACCTTGAAGGGAAAGACAGATGAATTAATATTGATATTGTTTGTCATGGAAGACCAGCACATTGGGACTTCTAATTCAAGAGTATCTTTGGGGAGAATTTTGGCACAGGGCTGCTCTCGGAGAATGATGCTATTGAAGGCCAGCCATTGGACATACCTCCTTTTAATAATGGTTGTCTGTGGTAGGTGCTGGACTTCTCTGTTGGAGTACACGACACTCTGTCATCTGGACTTCCTGCATGGCTCCCAATTTGGCTATCTCAGTCAATAGAACTAGAACCTCATCTTCTAGAATGACTCAGTACATAAGATGATAATGACCTATGGAAGGCACAGTCTTAAGAACTTTGAAATATATTCTTCAGACTCTTGATTCGTATATCCTTCTGGATCATCTGTTTTCTGTTGGCTCTTCTTCCTATACTCTTCATGGTCTTTTTGGCTTTCTTCCCTCAAAGCCTCTGATGCTCTACAATTCTTTCTTCCTTTAGATAACACTACTTCTGACTGCCTCTAAAGCCTCTACTTCCCATAAACTATTGTCTACTTTAGCTTAAACATTTCAGGGTAAATGTTGTGGTGGGGTTTTGGAGCATTCCTTTTTAAATAAGATTTCCTAATTTACCTACCCTAACTATCATACGATGGTCGCAAAGGACATTAGAAATCATATAGATTAATAAACACTGAAGTGCATCTTGGGCACCCCATTTAGCTGTGTGTGTGCACCTGCACTGATCTCTCCTTCCAGTGGTGCCTCTTTCTTCTGAGAAACATAGCTTTTTCTTGAGAGTGGCAGACAGCAGCACAGAAATCTCACACAACTCCCAATTCTCTTCTTAACCCTTTTCCAGCCTTTGGACAGACTGCTGGCAGAGGCTGCACTTACATCTTTGGGAAGGACACCTTTTAAGTTGTTCTTGGATGTTGTCTGAAGGGAAGATCTCTGAGTGACATGGATTTCAGTGGTGCTCATACCCTGAGGTGTCTCCCTTTCCTTTCTTACAGAGGGTGTACTCTGAGCATCTGAGCTATTCTTTGGGGTGCTCACTTCCTGGGGTTTCTCACAGGACAAACACTGTGCAGAAGAAATGCACTCAGATACTGGGCTTCTTGAGGACCACTCATTGCAAACCACGCTACCTACTGCCAGACTTCTGCTCAGGAGAGGAGTAACCTCAGAAGAACTTGTGGGTACTGGGTGGGGAGGATTTTCTTCCTCCAGCAGGCAGCACAGGGTGGCAGGCATGCTCAGACTTCTGCTCCCCTGCTTGCTTGAACACTTCTCATCATGCCCCTGATGTTCAGCCAGCAGGGCGAGGGTGGGAAGGGCAGGCTCACTCACTCTCCTCTTAGGAGGAAGGGACATGAGAGGATCTGCTGATGACACAGCCACACAGGCCTGCAAGGAATTAGTGATAGATTTAGTGTGGTCCTGAGGTGATCCATGGTTTAAAATTAGGTATGTGGCCATGATGTTATTGAATTTTTTCTCACGTAGACAATCACTAATAGCCTTGGGATGGTAGCCCATACCCCACATAGCCTGAACAATGCTGGGATTTGGTTTGTTACAGAATGACTCTGAGGATGATGGGAGTTTCCAAAATTCTTCCCTGTCTCTGATCCACTGGTGCTGCCTAATGTCATATATTGTGGGCCTCTGCTCAGGGTACACAGTGAACAAGTGCACAATGAGGTGCATAAGCAAACGGTTTTGAGAGAGTGTGTAAGGAATGTAGTATATGGGATTCAGCATCACCTCCTTCATGTCTGGATAGGTTCTTGCTTTGAATGGGAAGCTCGCTGTCACCATTGCATATAAAACCACTGCCATGCTCCAGATGTCAACTGCCCTTGCATCATACTCTGTGTCAGAAAATAGCTCTGGAGCACAGTATTCAATAGTGCCACAGAATCCCTTGCATCTCTGCCCAGAGCTGACTCTGATGGCCATGCCAAAGTCACACAGTTTGATGTTTCCTTTGCCATCAAGCAGGATGTTATCAAGCTTGATGTCCCTGTGGGCGATGTCATTATCGTGGCAGTAGTGCACTGCACACACAATCTGGCAGAAGATGTGTTGGGCCTGTTTCTGCTGAAGAGGGCCACCCTCCTCAATGAGCGTGACTAGATCGCCATGTGCAGCAAACTCCAACACCATATAGGTATGGTCTTTGCTGTCAATGATTTGGAAGAGCTTTATTATGTACGGGTGGTCCAATTCTTTCATGAAGTTGAGTTCTTTCCTATTATTACCGTCACGCTCCTCACCATTCGCAAGGATTTTAACTGCGACTTTCATATTTGTAAGGCGGTGGCAGGCCAGCTTCACCTCAGCAAAGGCCCCTTTGCCGAGGGTATTTAGTAAGACATAGTGATCTGTAATTGTCTCCTCTTCATAGGTGCTGGCATTCAGGTCCAGCTGCATGGTCTCCTCCTCTCTGGTCTTGCTAGAAAGCTTCTTGATAATTTCCATGCCAACGCCAACTGAGAAAATCAGATTAAAAACAATGAGAAGCAAGTTAAGGGGTAAAGTTTTTAGCTTTCTGTTTCTTCATGGACAAGTGTGACAGATGCAAACAACCTTACAGTGAACTTCTGGGTCACAGAAAATAAGAATAAGCCAAACTCTAAAGAAATCCTGAGAAACGTACTGAAGATGAGAACTAAACATAAGGAAATAGACCAGAGTGAACATTGCAACGACATAAATGCTTAATTATTGAAAAGAACAAGCAAAGCAGAAACAACTTTACCAAAAGTGATCAAAGAGGAGAAAGTTCAGTTTAAATTTATAGTCAAGTTTTGGTCTTGTTACAGTAAATATGGCTACTTCTAAAACACCATTTGGAAGACATTTTTTTTGACAACTAACATGGGGTTTTATTTTGGTATGAAAATGATATCCTATTCATTCTGTAAACATATCTGAAGAGAAAATGAATTAAAAATTCTATGCAAACCAAACCATTTCTGAATCAGTCTTTAGGAAAAATTTTGAGTCTTTTTTCACTGCTAAGTTCTCTTTAACTTTAACATATACACTTGGCAAACATTCGTAGTGAAAGTAAAGTGTTCAAGTGAGAGCAGATAATCAACATTCCTGCAGAAATAATGAAAATGAGGGAGTAGAAAGAATTGTAAGGCACAATTTGCAGATCTGCTCCTATGCTGAGAGAAAGGAAATGCCATTTCTAAGAAAAACATTCTACATTACCGGAGTCTTACATAATCCTTATCACCCTATGACATCAAATTTACCTATTTTACTGTTCGCCAATTGTATATTTTGCTCTGAGATAGTTTGGTGAATATAATGATATCACACTTGTCAATAGAATAGTGGAAAGTGGTCTTTAAATAATGTGGAATATTATTCTGTATTAGTCACTTGCTTTCATGCAAACATAATTGATAGAACATTTTTTCAGAAATCTATGGCATCAATCATATGTTTTAAATTATTTGTACATTTACAACTGCTTTTGAGATTTTAATTTTTTAATTTTGATATCATACATGATTATTGAATTTACATTATTATATTTTTTTTCCTTTTTAAAGATCTGACAATGTTACTTTGAGGGCAGGTGTAAAAAGTGTGATGTTTTCTGAAAACATAATAATGGAGCCAATGTCCCAAGATTTCTCTTTTCTCTATGTAGAGATATAACAAAAATTCTATTTAGGAGTCAATAATGTCAACACATTTCTCATTCAAATTTCTCAAGTTTCCTAATAATATTATTGTTCCATTATTTAACAGTAATGTGAAGTTTTTATTCTTCTCCCATATATTATACTCTGACCCAGGTTTCACTCTCTCCCCTGCTCCAGGCTCTCCTGCCTCTTCCCTCAGGTTTTCTGTCCCTTGATCTCCCCACAGAACAGGGCAGGCTTCCCAGAGACATCAACCAAACACGCCATAATATTCTTCTATTAAACTGTGTACATACTATCTTATCAAGACTGAACTCAGATACCTAGATGAAGGAAGAGGCACCATAATTAGGCCTAAGGATTTGCAGCCACAGTCACCCACTGTTAGGAATCCCACAGTGACATCAAGCCTATGGAAAACAACATATATGCACAGGATCTAGGAAAGATCCCTGTCTCACAGGCTCCCTGACTTGAGCAATTATGAGTGCCAGTCAATTGATTTTGTAGGCTGGATACCCACGGTGTCCCTGACTCCCTGGTGCTCTGATCCTTCATTTGGAAGCATTTTGGAAACCTATGGTCCCATGAATTGTGAAACTGGAGCAAATGGCAAATTTCTAAGTATATGTAACCTCTTAAATCTCAAAAGATGGCATATAAAAACCTATGAAGATTAATTATGAGAATATAGTTCAATATTCTTTGAAAAAAAATCACAAGGAAAACATTTGAGTTCAGTGACATGACTGGGTTGTTCTTCATAGCAGAAAGTCAGCCTCATGAAAACCCCGATGCTCACACCTACTGCCAAAACTCTTGCTATTATGCAACGTTACTGTTGTGTCCTATTGCTGAAACAACACTCATGGATGACAGCTGACATGGTGTAGTAGAGCAGGTGCTTCAACAGTTAGAAGCCTCCCCAATTCTGACTGACACTCATGATACAGAAAAGTACTCTGTATTCTACTGAAGGAGAAAGATAATCATCAGCATCACGCAGCTCCAAACCCTAGGACAACAGTGACCCACTTGCACAATGGACTGATGTACTATTGGCATGAGTACAATAACAGTAACCAGTCACTTTTTGATTGGATTTAATACCCCTCCAGGAGATGGGCACCATTACTGACATTGCTCACGTGGACAAGAGTGGATACTGAGTGGATAGTTCATGGGCTACAGGAAAACCTGCTACTATTATTCAGCTACAGGAACACAGTGAACAAAATTACTTTTGATGTCAGATTGTTACACAAAGAGATCAATGTCTCAAACACCCCACAGCAGTGAAGCCCTTTCTTATGGGAGATGACACTCACCCCGAGGCTCACAGCAATGGAGAGGGAGTGAGAGGTTTCATAATACTCTGTCCTAATTGGAAGTCTTCATGAAAACCTTCCCTCAAGTTTCAGAGAGCTAATCAGAAGAGTGGAAGGAAGATGCTAAGGGCCAGAGGTCATAGATGATTCCAAAAAAACAATGAAACTGATGAATACATGAACCCACAGAGACTGCTGCAATACGCACAAGCATATACAGGTTCAAGTCAGATGGGGGCTCTGTCACTGAAGAGGGGAAACAGGGTTCCATTCCCGACCAGGAAAACATCAGCATTTGTTTCCTGATGGCAAGAAGAACCAGTTTCCTCCAATGGATTCTCACTGGGTAACTTAACCACTCCTCTTGGTAGGACCCATACCCCGGTATTGATGGCAAACACAAAATCAACTCAATAGAAATGTGGTAGATTTTGGACTCATTGTTCTTTTGGGGGTAAATTTTATAGGTCTTAATTTTTTATTTTATTTTTTTCTTTTGCTTTTGTGTTTTTATATAATAGAAAGTGTATAAGACCATAACCATAGGTGTTATGGGAAGATAGGATGGTGTTGGAGGAAATTGGGAATGGGAAAATGATCAAAATACATGGCATATAAGACATTCAATGATAAATTGTCAAGAAAATAAAAGACTGATATGAATTCTCTCATGTATGGATTCTACATGACTTTCAAAAAATTATATAACTGTTCAATGATGAAGAAGGAAAAGACACTTTTCAATATGCTCTACATAGCCTACAGGAGCCTATTACAAGACCAGGCGATTTGAGCTTTTCTCCCTTGAAACAACATGTTGTTATAATACACTGACTTCCATAAGAGTGTGTTGTGTACTTCCCATAGCCAAGAGGATAACTATATGTTTTTCCTTGGGTTCACTTTCTTAAACTTCTTTAGATTCAGCAATTATAGACTCCGCGACCCTTATTTATGGCTAGAAACCAATTATGAGTGAGTACATCCCATGTTCATCTTTTTGGGTTTGGGTTACCTCACTCAGGATAGTGTTTTCTATTTCTATCCATTTGCATGACAAATTCGAGAAGTCATTGTTTTTTACCGCAGCACAGTACTCTAATGTGTATATATTCCACACTGGGATGGGGGTTAGGGGAGATGGGGAGAGAAAAATGAGAAGGGGAGGATGGGGGGAACTTAGGGAAACAGGATGATTGGGATAAAGGAAGGTTGGATAGGAGAGCAGGGAAGCACAATTCTTAGTTAAGGGAGCCACCTTAGGGTTGGCAAGAGACTTGAACCTTGAGTGGCTCCCATGAGCCCAAGGCGATGTCCACAGTTAGTTCCTTGGGCAGCTGAGGATAGGGAACCTGAAATGACCCTATCCTATAGCAATACTGACGAATATCTTGTATATCACCATAGAACCTTCATCTGGTGATGGATGGAGATAGAGACAGAGACCTACACTGGAGCACTGGACTGAGCTCCCAAGGTCCGAATGAGGAGCGGAAGGAGGGAGAAGATGAGCAAAGAAGTCGGGACCACGAGGGGTGCACCCACCCACTGAGACAGTGGGGCTGATCTATTGAGAGCTCACCAAGGCCAGCTGCACTATGACTGAAAAAGCATGGGATAAAACCGGACTCTCTGAACATGGCCGGCAATGAGGGCTGATGAGAAGCCAAGGACAATGGCACGGGGTTTTGATCCTACTTCATGTTCTGGTTTTGTGGGAGCCTAGCCAATTTGGATGTTCACCTTCCTAGACATGGACGGAGGGGGGAGGACCTTGGACTTTCCACAGGACAGGGAACCCTGACTGCTCTTTGGACTGGAGAGGGAGGGGGAGTGGAGTGGGGGGAGGGGAAGAAGGGTGGGTGGAGGGGGAGGGAAATGGGAGGCTGGGAGGAGGCTGAAACTTTTTTTTCCTTTTCTCAATAAAAAAAAAACAGAGTGTGTTGTGGCACAGACAGATAAATACACATGTATCTAAATAAATAGAAGAAAATATTGCTTAACGTAAAATAAAAAATTATAATCCAACAGTCTATGTACTTGGACATGAGAATTCATATTAAAAATACTTGAAATTTTCCCGCAAGTTCAACAGCACATGAAACCAGTTATGTTCATGCTCAAGCTCAGTTCATTACTGAAGAACAGAAAGACAATTATAACATAAAAGACGACAAGTCAATATATGAAGAGGATACAGTTTACAAGGCCTATAGCTACAATAATTAAATTAATCATTTTTCAGCAAACTGCTGCAAATGCAGATGACTTTGTTATTTGTGACGTGGCAGTCTCAAAATGTAAATTTTGAGGGAACCTAAAACATGCCACTTAGTACCCATACGAGGACATTGGTTAGTCGGGCGCAGTTCACGGTCTTGGGACCTGGGTGTCTCAGCTGGCACAGACTCTTTAGACACAGCAGTGATGAACAGAGTCCTGGGTAGCTCAGAATCCAGGCTTGGGATCCTCATTAATCAACCAGTAG